CGTCTTGTGTGATTGCATGACAAAGATACATCCCGAGATGTGTGTCGTTAGGTATTTTATCATCCTGTGAACATCTGAGAGTGTACTTACACAAACTTTGGTGGGGTGACCTATGACAAGTAGGCTACATAATATACTAGTCTGCTGCTCCTGAACTACCAACCTGTGCAGCACATTACTAACTGTACTGAATTTGGTAGGCAGCTCTAACAAGTGTTCAGTATTTATATATCTAACATAAAAAGTTATAATAAAAATGTGGTATAAAGGAAAAAAGTGGTACACATATATAGGGCACTGAGCCTGGTTGAAGCTGCAGGACTGGGAAGTACACTTGTTATTAGTGAGCAGTGAGGGAGTGTGAAGGTCTACAGTGTTACTGTACACTTCTGTAGACTTTAAACTCTGTGCATTTAGATACACTAAGTTTTTTCCTTTTAATAATAAATTAACCTTAGGTTACTGTAAAGTAACTTTTTTACTTTATAATTTTTTTAGCTTTTGATTCATAGTAACAGTTTAAAGTAGCTATTGTACATGTAAGACACATTGTACTTCTATATAAAAATATTTTCTTTCTGGCTGGTTATGGTGGCACACACCTGTAACCCCAGTGCTCTGTAAGGCTGAGGTAGGAGGATTACAAGTGGAATCCCAGATTGACCAGTTCCGTGACTAGCAAGACTCTGCCTCTAAAAAAGAAAAAGGGATATAGCTCACTGTGAAGATGAAAGATCAATACCCACAACCACCACCACCCAAAATAAAGAAAAAAATTATACCTATTCTGTAAGCTTTTCTGTTGTTTTTGTTTTGCTTGTTTTATTTTACTTTTTAAACATTTTTGTTAAAAACTAAGACACAGACACATCAGCACTGTTACAGGATCATCATTATCACCATCTGCCCATCTTCTCTCACTAGAAGGTTTTCAAGGGCAATAATGTGCATGGAGCTATCCTTCCAATACAATAGCTCTTTCCAGTATACCTCCTAAAGCACTCACGTGAGGCTGCTTTTTGGTTAACTTTTTTATAAAGTACATTCTAAAAATAACAACTAAAGTAGTATAACAAGTACAAAAACCGGTAACATAGCAGTTGTTACCATTATGAAGTATTTTGTCGTGAACGTAATTATATGAGCTACGCCTTTATGTGACTGGCCCCATAGTAGGTTTACATTCCCACCAATAGATGAGTAGTGTACTGCACTATGACCTTACAATGGCTATGGTATTTCTAGGTGATAGGAAGTTTTCAGTTCCATTATAGTATTACAGGACAGCTGTCATCTGTGTATTCTGTCACACACAGTGCATTATAAAGACTTGGAGTGCAGTCTTAGCTCCCCCACCAGGGGGCCTGGTAGCTGAGATAGGCTCTGCCTTGCTGATTTCTCTGGGCTGCTCTAATAGGAAGTATTAGTAAAGGTCAAGAATTGTTTTAAATAGCATTTCTACCTAGCTCTCATGTTCAGCCCTTCATCAGTTATGCTGAAGGCAGTGATTTGTGTTGCTGAGTTTCAATGCAGGATCCCCCCTCCTCCCAGTGAAGCCCCTCCTCCACAGGTGCAGCTAGAAAGCCAGTGGTTCTGCCACCTGCAGGCTTCATGAGGGCATCCACACTGTCAGCATGACACAGTGCTATTTGGCCTTGAAAAAATACTTGAAGAGACCTATTTTTTAGTAATGATAGACTCACTTGCCTGATGGCTGTCTTATTCAGAAGCCATTCCCTCCCTTTTCTTCTGTCAGTTTCTGTCTTTTGATATTGCTTAAGAGATTGGGCAACTATACTTTATATCTCGGCTGCTCATTAGCATATGGTGAAAGTTTCCTTATATTTTCTCAAAAGTGATTTTCTCTGACCCTAGAGGACCATATAAATAAAAGACTTTCTTGTCATGACTTTGTAGTATCCACTGCAAGTTTTTATTCAGGTGTCCCCAGTTTAACACTGCCATCAAAAATGGACATTCAGAAGCCTACTGATAGGGGAGAGTCCAGATCTAGTCACAGTAGAATAATAAGCATACTCTGTCCTTCCCTCCCATTCAGTCCAGCTAAAAACACTGTTGCAAGTAGAGAGTGCGTGTGAAGGGCCCAGAAGTAAATGGTAGCAGCAAATCATTGGGAGAGCTGTGATTTTAACCGGTGTGTGTGATCTAGGCTGGCTTTTCCTCCTACTGCTTTATCGATAGCCACTGCTTACAGGAGCCTTTGTATCTGCCCAATCACTGGTGCTTTCTTCTTTTTTAAAACTTTGCCCTCTTAACCTGGGAGGAAATACCTCCCGTAAGTGTTAATTTTTATTTCTGTTTGATAGTTTACACCTCCATCTGGTCATATCCTTTACCCTTTGCTAAATTTTGTCTGCGAATCGATCGAGTTTTACTTGCCTTCCATATCCTGCCTACGTGATAAAGATAGTGTTTCTGCAGTTTTGTACTTTGTCTTGTACTTGTTAGCTTCTTTATACATAATTCAAATACTTTATAAATAATAATTATAAAACTCGATCTTCAAATATGGGAAGATATTCTAGGAAGAAAGCTTAGGGGTTTTAGGGACAAGCGTAAGAAATGCAGAATGATTTTTTTTTTCATGTTTTCCTTAGTACCATGTTTGCTTTGTCTCCCCTTGCCCTGACGCAAGATATAGTCTCCTCCGTGGAGATTTTCCAGCTAAAATGAGAGAGGAGAGAAAATTAGGGTAATACTGTCTTTGAAATGTGATTTAGACTTTTTAAAAACAAAGAGGTAATTTGAGATAATGAAAAAATATAAAGATCCTCAAGTTTTTTTGCCATACTTTTCTTCTACATAAGACCCATTACTACAGAAGTGAACCACACGTTTAATTTGAGACTTTGGAAAAAGTTGTATCATGTTTACAAAGACATACAGTTCAAAAATGAAATTGTCCCAGTATACATGTTATGGGAAGTAGTAGTCTGGCCCTGACTGCTTGTAGTCTCCTCTGCTACTTCCTTTCAGCTCCTTCTCCTGAGTCTTGTAATATTTGCTATGTCTGTAACTCTTTTCATAGTTTTTTATGTGTGTACCCTCACAACTCGGAGTACAGAGGTGAGAATTCAGTGTCCTTCTATGGCTTTTTCTTCCTCCCCCCATTCCGCATCTTATACCTGTATGCTGTCTTCCCTCTGTAGTACTCCCTGTTGAACCTCAGTATCCGTGACGTATACCAACAGCTCTTTAAATGCTGTTCACAGCCAGCCATGTAATTTCCTGTAGTTACTTTCCCTTTTCTGCATAATATTTTGTTTCCTGTAGGGTTAATTATTGCTTGCTTTTTGCTTTAGTAGTTTTCTATGTGCTTATTCATTCCTGAGTTAGGACTGTGTTCTCGGTCTGTAAGAGCCATGCCTGTCCTATTCATGTCATTTTGGAGATATCTCTTCAGGGCCTTCAGGCTGCTCGCTATCCAGTTTAGCTGCCTACACAGCTTGTGACCTTCTCTTTCGTTGGTGTCCTACAAAGGCCTCTGTCTTCTTTTTTCTGTGTTTACTTGCTTTGTAAACATACTTCCTGTACTGTTTCAATTTTTATTTTTTATTAGTCCATGTTAGCTGTATGTGATAATTACATTCATCATGGGCAGTTGGGGCCTGTACGTAACATACCTAATTCTTTTTCACCCCCTGGCCCTCCCTCTCGTGGTCCCTTCTCTCTTTTGCAAAAGATCTGTCTCCCTGTTTTCTGTTACCTATCCTTTACTTTGCTCTTTATTTATATTGGTAAATGTTTCTAAAGTGTGTGTGTGTGTGTGTGTGTGTGTGTGTGTTTGAAGTCTTTTAGTTTCTCACTGAGGTTTTATATAGTTGTCATATGGCTTGTTAAAATTCTACATTGGAAATCATATTCCTTAGAATTTCAAGAGATTTTCCCAAAAGCCACCCTTTTTTCCAGTGTCACTTTAGACAAGTCTCTATTCTAATGATCCTTTATCTAAAGCTGGTTTTCATTCTCTGGAGGCTCTAATGTCTCTTTTTAGTCCCCAGTTTCTGAAGTTCCCTGGCCCTGAGCCTTGCTCAGGTTTTCTCCTGGTGGCTGGGCACTCAAGAGTCTCTTTGACTTGAAATTCATATCTTCTGTGTGGTCTGTGCAGCCTGCTATCCTTCACTAGAAACTTGGGATGACTTTTTGTAAAGGAGAATTAGAATGAAATGTGTTTTTCCCAAAGGTGGAATATTATGAGTTAGATGTTGAAAAGAGATGTGGTGATTAAATTTACCAACTAGAATTTAAGCGTGCTGACAAGCATAAAATAGATATTTGCATATCTTATTTGACCAAACAAATATAAGGTACAACAGGCAAGTTATTGTAGTTTGCTTTTATTATTTAGCCTCATTCCTGTGTCTTCACTAGCAGAAGTTCTCCTCTTCTTGATCAGGGTGCTCCCCTTCTGGGCGTGTTCTAAAGATTCAGCCTCAATTTTATAGGCTTGCATCAGAGACAAGTAGATTAACGTATTGCCTTTCCCACACCACGTAGTGTTTTTTAATTTGAGGAAAATAATAGCACATCTTACTGAGTCCTTTTTTTTTCCATGCGTTTCACTATCCCAGCCTCCGATGCTTTAGCTAAATTAGTAGAACAAGTGTCCACTAGGCCAAGCATGGTAAAAATATATCTGATTTTTTTCCTGGAGATTAAAATTTTTTTTCTAGAGCAAATCATTGGTAAATAAGTCAGCCCCATCAGTTTTTGTCTGTTGTATAATTTTTAAAAATTGGGTAAACATCTGCTGAAATGTGCTAGGGAAAGTGCTGACATGGGGAAAGTTCTGTAGCCAGATTCTTCACCTGTTGGATCATACTGTTGCCAGGGACGGCCTGCAGTACGGTGAGCTTTGAGTGGGTCAGTGTCATGGGAGGGACTCTGTATGTATTAATAAAGTCTAATTTGAGATACAAGTAGTAATCACATCACATGCTCACGTGGGCTGATGATCTTGTTTTTTCCTTTCTTGCCAGCTTTTTGGTGACTGGGAAGCCCAAGTCCGGAGGATAATGAAGCTGATTGCTGGAGGTGGCTTATCTATCACGGGTTCTCACAACATGTGTGGGGACTATCTGTACAGCGGGCACACGGTCATGCTAACACTTACCTACTTATTTATCAAAGAGTGTAAGTCTACAACAGGTCTCCATTACAGTTTCCTCACTTGCCATTTCCCAGGGTCTCTGGATCTTGGGAAAACCACATTTCATGGGAAGTCTGCCGAAGCCAGTCTAGAAAATTCAGAGGGTGGCATCCAAACTTATCAAGCCTGGGATGCGGTCTGTGCCTAGGCAAGTGGCAGAAGGCTGTAACTATGCTTCTGGAGGGGGTTTCTTGTTTCTTATAGTGCTGGGGTGGAGGCAGTTTCCAGCAGAGCATGCAGGTGTGTTACAGGCCAGTGACACAACTGCCATAAGGAGGCAAGAAGAAAGCTCATAAGGACAGAGTTCAGTGTGAGGACTGATTGGATGACAGAAGATCGTATGTTTGCTGAGCAGCCATTTTTTCAAGCCCTCGACATTGTGCCCTATGGTGAGGGCACCACAGCAGGTCAGATGATGCATCTCCCCTCAGAAGGGCCTCCCCAGGCTCACGGGTGAGGGGGGCACTACATGGAAAGTTTGCTGTAAGAAAAGTACTTAAAATACTTTATTATGAAACAAACAATATTAGAGATGCATGTATCACTGTTCAAATTTAAAATATATTAGCATTTTGCCATATTTCCTTCAGTTCATCCTTCTACAAAGGAAAAAGTTACAATACAGTGTATGATTAAAACTTCTTCTTTCCCATCCACCTCTTTATTTGCCAATATTGTTCCACTTGTTTCTGTATTTGAGTATTACTGATTTACGGTTTTTAAATTTTACATAAATGGCATCATGCTATATTCTTCAGTCTCTCTTTACTCCATATTATGTTTTTGACATTGAGACTTTGCTCATTCCTTTTACCTGCTGTTAGTATGTCAGTACTGTAATTGAACCACAAATTACTCACTCATTTCTCTGCTTATAGAAAGTTCAGTTGTCCTCAGCATTGTGTTTTACTGTTAGAACCGGCCTAGTGAGCATTACCTAAGCAGTTCCCAAGAAGAGCAGTACGTAAAACCAGTCTGCTGTGCTTTCAGAGGAGGTTCATGTGTTGCAATCTTGAACATATCTTGGGAGCATCTGGCACCCTGGTAATTTATGTGGTTGGAATTCAGAGTGGGAGTAATAATGAGAGATGAGAAGGCACTGATCAGGAGGTTGCCCCGAGCCACGTAGGAGTCTGAAGTGCCCTCACATGGAGATGGGGCACCTACTGAAGTGTTAGGACCCATGGAGAAGTGTCATCTTACTTGCTCTTCAGCGAACATACTCTTATAGCACTTTGCACGTTGGGGTGGAAAGAGACAACCCTCGGGACCAGAACAGTTGGGTGACTGGCTGCTGCTATAACCAAAGAGATGATAATGGCTTGGACTAGCATGGCAGCATCAGGGATGGAGAGAAATGAAGGGTACTGGGAGAGATTAATAAAGAAGAGTTAACAGATAACATGGATAGATTGAAGGGCAGAGGAGAGAGGTGGCAGAGGGAATAAAAGCCCAGTTCTTGTCTTAGAAATAAGGTACGGGAATGGAGAAGAGAAAATGAGCCAGAGGGCAATGAGAGAGAAGGTAGAGGAGACGTTCTACTTGAAGTCAGTGTGTAATCAGATAGAGTTGATTCTAGCAGTGCCTGTAGAGGATCCACAGGCATCATGTAACCATTGTACTGGACATAACCAAATGTGGAAAATGGGAACCATGGAGGCCAGATGCTGGCAGAACTGGTGGATTCCTGCCCCCTGCTGGTTGACACCTGAAATCCTTTAATCATGTCAGGGCTTAAAACTCTTGACATTAATGCACTGTGCCATATTGGAAAACACAGAGGCCTTGGGTCACAAAATTCTGAGTTTGAATCTTAATGCTATCACATCCTAGCTCTATGATTCTGGAAAGACTATTTAACTTAAGTCTTTATGAACAGAGCTGCACAGAAATAATAATAGTTGCTACTGTATTGTTAAACTATCAAATAACAGGTATAACAGGTATTACTAGATTAACTCCTGCCTTCACCATGCTCTATTTAACACTGCAGATTACCCTTCACTTCTACTTCTGAACCTCTTATTCTGCTGACCTACTTTTTTATTTTTGCACAATCTTTACCACTGTGGCTAATGGCATACAAATTACTGATCATGATTACAGTCTTGTCTCTCTTCCATCTTAGAGGGACTCTCACCACTGAGGCACTCTTCCTGCTTTGTTCATTGATCAAGATACCTAGAGCAGTTCATGTCCCTGCCATAATGCTCAGAAAATATTAACTGAATGAATGAGTGGTTGTTGGACTTCTTGGGAATCCAACAAAAGCATGAACCTTCTCCCATGGTGTGAGGAGGCCAAGTCCATTCAAAATTTTGTCTAAAATTTCAGACTCTCAAATTCCCTCCCCATTGAGAATGCAAGGTAGAAAGGCTTGCATTAATAGCCTTTTCATGTTTTCCTCTCATGACTCTCCAGATGAGGGTACAAATAAGTGCCTGACTGTGTACTACCTCTAGGAGACAATTGACGCAGCATTTCCAAGCATTTGATTCTCAGTATATTTGTATTTGAAAAATAAAAATCTCAAAGGCTTAGATTATTATATAGTTGCAGAACTTGGGAAAGTAAATCAAAATAAATCAATTATAATTGCTTAGTCTGTGTATAAAGATCTATGGACCAATAGCTATTGGTTTTTGTATCAAGCAGTGGTGGCCAACCTGTGGCATGTGTGCCACAGCAGGTGCACAGAGCTGTCTCTGTCAGCACACAAGCCAGATCAGCTCAGCAGCCAAGCATCAAATAACAGTTGTTTTTTTCAAACTAAAACCTCAATATTGAGGTCTAATTACAGTGTTGGCACTTTGCAATAAATAAGTGAATTTGGGGATACAGTTTGGGCACTCAGTCTCTGAAAGGTTTGCCATTCCATAGAGCATTAAGCCCAAATTACAAAGAGATAAATTTAATTAAATGTCAATGGATAGTTTTTTAGAATGAAGCATAATACATTTTTTATTAGACTCATCCTGTAAACTGTATTTGAGATTGTATGAATTAAGTACAGTAAGTCTCCAACTTATGAATGAATTCCATTCTGAGAGCACATTGCTAAGTGGGATTCATGCACAAGTCTGTCAAAGTGAGTCTTACACACCTTTAACACAAGTATACAGTGTATATTGCTTTGTGCTTCCTACCAATCTGCTTCACATCACCACAGCTTTTCCTCCTGCTTCCGGACATCCTGGGCTCTGACGGAGCACTGTACTGCTGTGCACTATTGCACTATACAGTGAGCACACAGCACCACAACTGTAACAACATCCGGCAGACACACGAGATACTTCCACGATTTGTTTGCATCTATGAATGTTTGTAATGTGAGGGCCATTGGTATCTGTGAAAATTTGCAACTTGAATGTTCATAAGTTGAAGGTTTACTCTAATATGAATTACCATTGCTAGTAAAATCACTTTATAGAAAGCTTTTGCAACCTTGGTCACAGATAAATAAGACCCTGGAGATTTACTTCCCCAAGAGATTTGTTTTCAGAAGGAAAGATCTAAGGAAATTGAACTCAGAGGTACTGTATGCGATAGAAGCACATTTGGGTACTTCTAATGTTTGTGAGTCATTGTAGACTACTGCAATTTCTCCTCTTTTCAGATTCACCTCGACGACTCTGGTGGTACCACTGGATTTGCTGGCTTCTCAGTGTCGTTGGAATCTTCTGTATTCTCTTAGCGCATGACCACTACACTGTGGACGTGGTGGTGGCATATTACATCACCACAAGACTGTTCTGGTGGTATCACACTATGGCCAATCAGCAAGTAAGGTTTTCCCCCATTTAACTTCAGCTCCTAGTATTCCTGGATATTGCTTCTGGCTTGGGTAGGAGAGAGGGTGGGAGAGGAGCAAAGAATCTACCAGTGTCTTAAACTTCACCTTTCTAAGGGGAAGTCAGCTAAGCTTTTTCTGCATCTTGTGACATTGATCTTCACTATCAAAATGAAAAAGTGCATGAATATAATGACATAGCAGAGCATGGTGGCATATATCGATGATGGTATAATCTCAGCTACTTGGGAGGCTGAGATTGGAGGATGAGAAGTTAGAGTCCAACTGGAGCAACTTAGTGAAAATACGTTTCAAAATAAAAAATAAAAAGGGTTATGGATGTAGCATAGTAGTGTGGTAACCTTGGGTTCAGTCCCCAGTACTTGGGGGAGGGGTTTGATCCAGGAGACTGTTTCCTTCTAAAGCAAGTCCCACACTAATGTTGTCCATGAAAATGTTTCCTAAGCTTGTGCCTACCCATTGCTTAATTTGTATTCCCACCCTCTTCTCATCACTCTGGGCCCATCACCAGCTTAAGAATGTCTTTCTGTTTTCTGTGTAGAAGAGTGAGTAAAAAATTACCTGCGTATTTTTTTGATAGATGGTAGATGAGTAAGCCACAAGTTCTTGCCCTGTCAGAATAGGGGTTTACTGCTTGGGTGTGGCCCAGTTTGCAGATGTGTACAGAGGATGGGGTGATGACCTGAGAGTGAACAGGTCATTTGGGTGGACATGGGGCAGGTCTGAGGTCCCTTGTGAATTTTAACATGGAAAATACTTGAAATTAAAGCAAAAGAGGGTGAGAAAAATTTGTATGTTTGTTCTTTTAGGTGCTAAAGGAAGCTTCCCAGATGAACCTCCTGGCCAGGGTGTGGTGGTACAGGCCATTTCAGTACTTTGAAAAGAATGTCCAAGGAATCGTACCTCGGTCTTACCATTGGCCCTTTCCCTGGCCAGTAATCCACCTCGGTAAGCAAGTGAAATACAGCCGGTTGGTGAATGACACATAACAGCTATACAAAGTGGGAGAATGAGGAACTGTCCAAAGTGCTAAGAACTCCATGAGAGAAGATGCCATAAAATAAACACCTCCCTAATCCTATTATCTTTCAACAGTTACCTTGACTTAACCTATTGAGTTACCTGGTCAGCACTGTGATCTTTTTTTCTCTCCAAAGGACCTGCATTGGACAACAATAAAGAAAATTTAACCATCATGCACTGTACACATTTTCTGTTCATAAGTTTGGGATTTACATCACCTACAACTACCATGTTCCTTTGTATATGAAGCGACAGTATAAATGTAAGCTTTTATATAAGTTCTGGTCTTTCCAGTCACATCTGGAAATAAAGCGTATTATTTTCTTGGGAAAACATACTTTTCATATCTCTTGCCCCAAAGATTGGGCTGTAAGCCATTTTCTAGCAAATGTCTCTATGAAGGTTTCTAAGTACCTGAATGGGGTTCGGTTCTGAAATCTTCCTACCTGTTGCACCAATGTTCAAATAAAAATGACAGACACAGAGAGGTTTGGTAACTTTGGATTTTGTAAAATCAACAGAGACAGTGTGTCAAAAAGTGCAAAAAAAAAAAAAAAAAAGATTCTGTTATAAAGTGATTTTCTAAGTATTTCCTAACTTTATTTTTCAAAATGATATTATGAAAACCAAATTTAAAGATTTTTACATGCCAGAGAGAAGAGTTAAAATGTAAAATGCTTCTTGGGAGAGAAATGTGTCTATGTTTCTAGTGCCTTTCTTGTCTTGATTGTATGGTCCGTAGGCAATCTTAAATGTTTTTATTTAAAATAAAGTATTCCACAAAAATATAAATGTATGTATACACTACTAAATTTTGCATTTATAGCTAAATTAAATCAGAAGACTGCTTATGGTTTTACAATTGCTTTGAATTAAAGAATCAACTAATTAGAGTCAGAGCTTGTTCACATATTGTGAGCAGGTAGTAATGACATGTACCACTTCAATTAGTTTATCATCTGTTTGGTAGTTTGATTTTAACTACTCTATGAAAACAGCCATGAATATCTTTTTTGAAAAGAGAGTTTTGAAAATGATCACTTACCTAAAACTTGAAAGCTACAAATTAGTTATCCATACTCTCATGACAATTTTGTTGGTCAACAACAAAAGAGATCTATTTCTTTAAAATATATTTGTGCAGAAACTGCATGTAACTCTAAGTTTTACTCCTAACATACGTATGTTTGGGGAAGTATTCTATTCTATACTTGCCAATGTGGAGAACAAAATAGTTTTTTAAGGATGAAAAAGTATATATATCCATTCTGTATTTTACGTGCAGCAGAATTATCTACTGTAGGGTTTTTTTGTGTATTCACAAAGTGATATTTGTATTGTAAAACAATAATGGTGAAGGAAATAAAACGGCTTTTAAAATTGTTTGTTTTAAATCTTTGTAAAGTTACTATTCCAGAGAGTATACTGATACCTTACAGCTTACCTAGATCATAAATTAATCAAAATGCACTTTTTAATAAAAATCGATACTTCAAATAAGTGGCTGTTATTGCTAATGTATTCACGTTCTTCACAAAAATCATAAAAACAAAACACAATGGAGTTTCAAGATGTCTTCACTGACTTGGACATGGAGCCGTAGTAAATCATCTACTTATTTTTTCCTTGAGGTTTCTTAAAAGTACTCCTGCTGTTGTTAGTTGTCATGTTGTAGTTTTTCATTGAGAAGAATTATAGATACCTTCAAAATGTAAACCATATTTTTAAAAAGTTTTGAATTCTCCAATTCTCAAAGAAGTCACTATTTTTTTTTCCCGTAACTGGAACTAATGCTTTTCTAGTATAGGCGGAAAGGAAAAGTGCAAATCTGGAGTGAAAGACAGTGTGATAGTACTTTGATAATCAGTGGTAATATTAAAAAGAAAGACAGATGATTATGATTATTGTTGACATAAAGAAGGACGGTGTTAGCTAGGCATGGTGGCACACATCTATAATCCAGGCTGTTGGGGTGACTGAGGCAGAAGTATAGGAAATTGGAGGCCAGCCTAGGCTATTTAGCAGGACCTAGTTTCCAAATAAAAAATAAGAGGGGGTGGGGATGTAGCTTAGTAGTAAAGTACCCCTCAGTTCAGTCTCTACTGCCACAAACTGGAGATGTGAAATTGGTCAAACTGTCCTACGCGGGGCTTTGAATTTTTGGGTCAGACCGAGGAATGTGGTGTGCTATTGAGCCAGAGAGAGCGAAGTTCTAGGATAGGTCCTCATTTAACTACAGTAGCTTTCCATGAGGAGCGGTGGTCCAGGTGCTGCACACTGAAAGGGAAAGCAAGTAAGTGTGAACGAATGGTGGGCACATACTAAAAAGAAGATGGAGGTGGGGATTTTTTTTACTAAAAAAATTAATTATATTAATAAATTCACATACAAGTTTGTATGCCTCATACATTCTAGGAAATTCACTGGCTGGTTGTTCCCATGGCTGCCTGTACTTGAATTGATGTCCCCTGGCTTTTCTCATGTGCAAATCTCAGGAAGACAAAGAGATATCTTGTATTTTGGGAAACTGCACTACAGTTGATAATGACTGGCTGAATAAGCACATATCAATTTTGGCCTTTAGCTTGGTAAGCTATAAAGCCCCAGACAATGGCTTTAGTTTATTTCATTCATTTTACAAGCTAGGCACTTCTGTGTATTATTCTGGTAACCATCACACAACCACAAGGTGTAGTTATTATCCGCATTTTACATGTGAATCAACCAAAGTAACTCAGATGTATTAAATAACTTGCCTGGGGCAAGCTGCAGCTGGTTAGTGGTTAGGTCCAATTGGATCTAAATTCCTATCTGTGCCCTTCAAAACAGGTAGCTTTCTGTTCTGGTTTATATCTAGATGCCCTCCCAAGGCTTCATGTGCTCATAGGTGGGGCTTTCAGGAGGTGGTTGGATCACTGGAGTATGATACTGCCCCACTGGTGATTTCATGGCTGGGTATGATGGGAGGCAAGGCCTGGTCAGAGGAGATGGGTTCCTGTGGGCGTGGCCTGGAAGAGTCTCTCTCTCCCTGTTGATCTTTCTCTGCTTTCTGCCTGCCATGCCTCAGTAGAAGAGCATTTGCCTAGCATCAAGGTCCTGGTTCAAACCCCAGTACCACCAAAAAATACATGTCTCTGTGTGTGTGTGTGTGTGTGTGTGTGTCTGTGTGTGTGTGTGTATGTGTGTGTACATAGATATACACATACAGGCATACATCTTCCAATTATTTTAAAAATTTAAAAGAAAAAACAAAAACAGGTAAAAACAAAGAACAAAGAAAACTACAGAATTTCAAAGCAAAGTGATAGGAAATTAACAATGGTTGTTATATTTCATTTGTTATCTTTAGTTGCTCGGATTGCCAGATGTATACAAGATTGACCAAACCATTAAGGATTAGCTGTTTCTTGCTAGCTATAGAATAATATATTTGTTGCTCAATTTTTGAAGTGCTTTAAATTTCTCATTTTACTTACCTGGTTTCTCAAGTGAAGTATGCTGTAATTTTACCCTTGTTCCTGTAGCTAATGAGTTATTTTTCCCTGGGTTCTTATAAAATCTTGTCTTTGTCTTTGGTTTCTGCTGTTTGAATATGACAAATCTAGGTGTAGATTTTTTTTTTTTTTTTTTTTTTTTTTTTTTCTCCGGTACCGGGAACCGAACTCATGACCTTGCACTTGCCAGGCAGGCGCTTTGCCGCTGAGCTAAATCCCCAGCCCCTAGGTGTAGATTTTTTTTTCTTGATATTTTTGCTGTTCCCTAAACTTCTTGAATCTGTAGTTTATGTCATTAGTTTTGGGAAGTTTTCAGCCAGTATTTCAAATATTTCTTCTGTAGTTTCTCTTTCACTGTGATATGTTACATCTTTTGAAATTATGCAGTTCTTGCCTGTTCTGTTCTTCCATTCTTTTTGTATTTGAGTTTGAGGTTTCTATTGACCTATCACATTCACCAGTTCTTTGGCCATATCTGTCTTAGAAGCTCATCAAAGGCAGTCTTCATTTCTATTACAGCACTTACAATTTCCAACATTTCCTTTGGCTCTTAAATTTTTCATCTTGAAAGTACTTCAAGTACTCATATCTTGAGTGTCATGTATTCTATTAGAGCCTTTACCATGTTGTTATGTTTATTTACAATTCTTTGTAATTCTAGCATCTTTTTCATACATGGATCTGATTCTTACTTTGCATGCTTTGTAATTTTATTTTTTATTCTTATTTATATATTTTTGCAGAAATTGGGTACTTCCAGTGTCATTCCTGGATGCATTTCCATGATTCCAAAACCAAACAATGACACACCTAAGAAAGAGAACTATAGGCTAATCTTTTTAATGGACAGAGATGCAAAAATCTTCAACAAGATACTGGCAAACAGAATATGCCAAGTCCTTAAAAAGATCATGACCAAGCTTCGCAAGTGTGGTTCAACATGCGGTAAATGTGTTACATCACATAAACAGAAGCAAGGACAAAAATGGCACAATCATCTCAAAAATGGAAAGACTTTGAAAAAAAAAAACAACATCCGTTAATAATAAAATTACTGAAGAAAATGCAGAAAGAAGTACCTTGTTTCAATTTGATAAAAATCCCTTTACCAAAACCTACTGCCAACATCATATTAAATGGGGAAAAGCTGAAAGCTTTCTTTAAAATCAGGAATAAGACAAGAATGTCCACTATCAACACACCTATTCAATATAGTGCTTGAAACATTAGCCAGAGCAATAAAAGGGATATTTTATCATTATTATTATTTGCATATGACATGATCCATTACGTAGAAGACCCAAAAAATTCCACCAAAAGACTCCTAAAATTAATGACCAAATTTTGCAGTGTAGCAGGATGCAAAATCAGCAGTATTCCTGTACACTAATATTAAACCCTTGGAAAAATAAAGTAGGGGAAAAAAAACATTCATAATAGCATGAAGAAAAATTAAACACAAATCAACCTAACTGCTCCACTGAAAACTATGATACTAGGAAAAAGGAGATCAAGGGGACATCAGAAAAGGGAAAGATCTCTTCCTGGAGAGGCAGAATGAATATTGTCAAAACAGCCACATTAATAAAATTATTATATAGATGTAATGCAATACTGATCAAAATACCAACAGCATCCCTCACAAAATTAGATAGAAAAATTCTAAAATTCATACACAACTAGAGGAGACATAGAGTAGCAAAAGCAGTCATGGGCAACAAGAGCAAAGCAAAAGGCATCTTAATCCCAGACTTAAAGTTATATTATAAAGCTATAGTGTTAGAAACAGCATGGTATTGGCCCCAAAACGGATATGAATCAGTGAAAAAAAATAGCATATGCAGAAACAGCCCCAGGCACTTTTAATTATCTGATCTTTGACAAAGGCACCAAAAGCATATGCTAGAAGAAAGAGAGCCCCTTTAGCAAGTGGTGCTAGGAAAACTGGCTATCCACATGCAGAAGGTTGAATGCAGACCTGTATCTCCCAATGTATACCAACTAAAATCAAAGTGGATGTTGATTTTTTTGTCTATTTGTGATGGTTGAGTAGTAAGGTCTCCTACTATTATTGTGTTGTTTATCTGATCTTTTACGTCCAGCAGTGTTTGTTTTATGAAGTTGAATATGCCAGTGTTCAGTGCATATATTCCAATTAATCTTATATTAGCAATTATATTAGGAATTATAATTGCTATCCTTATTGAACTGTTCCTTTAACCAACATATAGTGACATTCTTTGCCTCTTCTGATTAGTTTTGGCTTGAATTCCTTTGTCTGAAAATAGAATAACTACTCTTATTTGTTTAGGAGTAGTGATCATAACTACGGGAGTTCTGTTTGGTACAATTTCATGGACTCTCAATTATTTGCTCAACTGGTATTCATATTTTTTATCATTTTGTGTAGCTTAGCTAGCTTTTTATTAGTGGCCTCTGTAAGCTCAGTGATAGTTTTGTTAAGTCCATTATCTGTTTAGTTATATCATTTTCATGTTGCATGGAATATTGTTTTCCATACTTTTTACTGTATGAATTCCTTTTTGATTAAATGTGTTTCTTGTATATAGCATACCTTTTGGTTTTTGTTTGTTTTGATAATCTGCCAGTCTTGGTCTTGTGATCAGGAAGTTGATAGTTATTACTAAAAGGCATTGACTTATTCCTGTCATTGCATTATTGTCCTTTTGCTGATTCCTTTTTTCCCTTTTGCTCCACTGCCCAGGATATTTATTCTACTAGTATTTTTGGCATCTTTGGTTTCATTGTCTTTTTGAGGATATCCTTGGGTAGGTTTTGGTGCACTCAGTGATCATAACTTTCTTAAGGTGCTCTTTTTTATGAAAAGACTTTATTTCCCCCATCAATTTTGAAAGATAGTTTTGCAGGATATATCAGTCTGGGTTTGAAATTGTTTTCTTTGAGGGCTGAAAACTCTTCATTCCAAGGTCTCCTGGACTTTAAGGTTTTTGTTGAAAAATCTGCTATCATTCTAATGGGGTTTT